TCTCTTCTTTATGCACTTTCATACGAAATGAAAGTCTTCCTAAGACAGAATAGTTGTTGAATTTTCCCACAATGCCACATTTTTTAATTGGATTTCATATCGCCTTGTTTACTATACGTTATGCTTATATAGGGCTGGCTGTCATTTTAACTTTTTCACACTTTCGTCCAGAGGTGAGTGGGTGTCTGGTATTTCGATTCACATAAAACTCTCAAGTGGCCACCGACTAGCAAAGTCATTGAATCATATAGCAAACACATGATGTTTAGGCATTAAAGACACAATCCTCAGGAGACTTGAGTTACTGGGAATCTAAATTATACACGTCATATCTAAAGTGTCCTATAAAATGAGACGCCATAAGAAAGCGTCTTCTCTCCTAATAAGGAAGTGGTTAGCTCAGGCAAAATTGTATTTGCTATTACAATCGAAGAAGTCTGTCTAAAGACTGAAAAATCACTGATAGTCTCGAATCATACTTGCATCTAAAATAGGTTGTCGTCAATTGTGATGGCAAAAAAGGGTGCCTTATTCACAAGCCTAATGCAAATGTGTATTGGAAGAGTTCCAGTTTGTCGTGAAGGTCACAACTGTCCCATGACCCAATGTCATCCGTGGCTGTGTGGCGTCTATAGTTTGCTCGTATGAACAGGCTTGGAAGTATACATGCAGTGTTTATAAGACCTAGACAAAGGCGAAAATCCATTCCAGCGTGTAGATAAGAATCTAAGAAATACAATTGTATTGAATTTTGGGAAAATTCAATTATCGACTCTCAAACAATCTTAAATGACTTTAGACCACCGTTCAGACAACTAATAATATTAGTAATTTGATAATAATAACGATTATTATTATTATTTATATTTAATTATACTATTATTATTGTTAATATTGGTAGCAGTAGTAGTCGTAGTAGTAGCTATTATTATTTACGAGCCTAATGCCACGATGGCATCATTTAAGCCATTTTCTCGATTGTGCCCACTCTGGTGGCTACTGGACCAATTTGCCAAACTCTTTGCCTGTCACTGTGACTGCCTGACCTCCAAGTGGCACTATTTATCGCCAAGCCTTATAGAAGGAGCTTGCTTTCATTGGTACTGGTTACGCCTGACTGGCATACAAAAGCCGCTAAGATGTGCTGTCTAGAATCAAAACTTGACCTACCTGGTGCCCCAGGTTTCACCGACAGCATCCCAGCTGAGTAGATGAAGAGAATGCTGCTTGTCCAACTCATAAATCGGACACGAATTTCACTTTGCCTTTACTCAAGGAAAGTAGTAAAACAAATGTAGTGCAAGATTGCTAACAGTATAAATCAGGAGATTCTTCAGAGCACAAAAGTCTTTTAGATGATACGAAAGTTGAAGGATTCCTGTTGACGGAAAAAAGTTATTCGAAACAAAAATCATTAAAATGTATAAAAATGGTGGAAAAGTGGAAAAGTATTTCTTCCAAAAATTGGTTTATGACTATTCGAGAGGACATTTTCAGGTCCAATGTGGCAAAAGTCGAAATGGAATTTTTATGAAAGTCCCAACACGAGGACACAAACGACCTCTTCACATGTTTGAAGGGTTCACAATAAAACAACCTGTTGCCGGCAGTGGCTTGTCGTGTTTGCATTTGCTGAAAGCTAACAGTCGAGTGCAGACTCCAACAACCCACAGGGTTGACAGGACATCCATTGTCTCTTTGGCCCAACTGACTAACAGCTGACCACACCACTACTGGTTGTCAGGGCAACGCCAGAATCCACGACTAGCATTGGCCAAGTCGGAGATGACCAATATGGTGCCGGCCCCATCTTGCGGCCAAGAGGCTGCCGAGCAGAAGGGTGCAGATCGGCAAGCAGTATTGAATGAGGCGGGTGCGCTTCTGATGGCGCCGAATAAAGGCGGCAAATTCGTCTTTTGTGTTGAGGTACAGAAAGGGATGTTCGGGCGTCGGTTGCCCGAGAAGGCTGATTAAGTGAGCCCAGCCTTGAGGGGGCTCGAACACAGGCCAGCTGCTCGCTGGCACACTTTGTTGCGCCTGAAGGGAGTAAAAATGACGGTACAGGTTGTCTTTGGTGGATATACAAATAAGAGAAAATATAACCTTGTTTCATCGACAATCCCACCTCCGAATGGGGTTTTAAAAAATGCCTGGCCTCCCTTGAAATTCACATCTGCCCTGTGACCAAAGGGCATTCATGAAAATATGTGAGGTTGTGGTCAACTTGTCAAGAGAGTACACCACACTGTCATGGTTCGAGTCCCGCTGGGTTGTTAATGGGACTTGGCAGAGAGGTCGAGAGTGCAGTCCACTTGAGACTGGATGAGAACGCATTTAAGAAGCAAGGCTATGTGAACTTCAGTGAAAGCATTCGCTCTATTCATACCATTGTGTGAAAATTCAATTATTGAGATTACTTCCATTTCGAGTGGAAGTGTTGGGTGAAGAGATTCGAAGGTCGGTTCCACCAGAAGACG